CACCTACTCAGAGGTGTGAAAGCCAAAAGGAGTAACCTTGATTTTCTGTGCTACATCTCAGAGGATCCTTGTTTTCCTTCCTTCCAACAATAAAACATTTATACATTTGAAAATAACCTTGAGTAACTTTTTCATCTCACACAAACATTTGTAATGTACTTTCCCACTTCCTCTAGGTATTCACTCTCAAGGTCACCCCAAACCAAAAGCTACATTCAAACAATTGTTCACCATCACAAAGACCAACATCAAATCGTTCTGATCCTCTCTTCTGAGTGATCGTATAAGAAAATATATATAGCAGATTTCAGGTAAACCAAATCTCAGAGGGTTGAATGGTCGGTCCAGGTGGGTGGGGCTTCGGGCATGGCTGAGAGCGGTGACTGCTTTGCTGTGACATCACAAAGTTAAGGAAGTCCTGGCAGCTCGTTTTAAGACAGAGTCTCTGAATACAGGCTGTGAGCATTTCTCTGTGGACTGAGCGCTTTGATACTTTCACAGTATTAATATAGAAGCTAGACCTGCTTTATAAATGAAAAAACACAAGGAAATATCACTTTATACAATATGGGACCTTTAATAAATCTAGACATGTTAGGGAAATTACACTACTTTAAAATTCTGGCTTGCCGTTCTCTTGAACTACTCTTCCCATCATTGCTCATGGTGCCTGTTTTTTTCGCCATCGATTTGAGCTTTGAGCTGCTGAATATAACATTGTAGGATTACACACACAGAGCTGGAAATATTAATGAACAACTGGAGTGGTGATCCATTTTGCAGGTGACTATAAAAATCAAAGCCCTGCTGTATAAGTGGAAGGACGGATCTATCAATATTTATAGATGAAAACTGTGTGAGACAGTGACTTAAAAAGACACCGTCACAAGTTTGAAAAATGACTTGCCTCTCAGCTCGAAGGCAGAAGATGCAAACAAACTTTGCTTTTTAGGTGTTTTGACTATAATGAGCTTCTCAAGGAGGAGTCCGTCTCTCCTTTCTGTGATGCTCATTTTGGAGTAAACAAGCCTTGAATGCTAAACTGCTTTCCAATGGCCAAGTTGCATCTCTTTTGCTGAGAAGGGGAAGATGAAGAGGAGTTGTCAAGGCACTGGCATTGCTAAAAGTTGCTTGATCGATGTTCTGTCTTCAAGGAGACAGTTATTACGGTGCAGCATGACACTCCCAGCAGGGTGAGTCAGGAACTCAGTACAGGCAGGAGGAAACCGTATACACACACTTTTCTTGGGCACTGTGTACACTTTTTTTTTTTTTTACTGCCATTTGATAGATGCTGTCAATATATCATACCCAGCATTATAGGATCACACTGCATGAGGGTTTTTGAAAACACCCAAGGATTTGTCACTAAGTGATCAAAGTCCCCCTCGAGCAAGAAGAGGCTAAAATCACGAATTCATGCTGATATTGAAAGAATGACGTAATATTTGTCATCCATTTTTATACTACAAGTTCTATGCACACATGCATAAGTTATATCAGGCTATGGCAACACCTCTGGGTATGATAAATTAATTGTTGGTTTGGGTGTTAAAAAGATATATACCTCCAGCCGACTGTGACCGCTGCAACAATTCGGATGAGAAAAAGGTGTTGCTGGAAAAAGCAGGTGAGCTTAAGATAAATTAACTGTGAAAAGTTGCTTGGTTTCTTCTGTAACTTCAGAAAGAAATTACAAACTATGGTTGTTTTAATGAATATGTATAACATGGCATAGTATATTTTTCCCCCCCCATCCATCTCTTCCACCCACACATTGGAAGTCAAACTGCCTGAGACACACAAAGAGAAAGCAAGTGAGAAGTGGAGTGACCCACTCTACCGTGAAAAAGTGGAGAACACATTTGGATTGCAGCCCTGGCCGCCAGCTGCCAGTTATTGAGTTTAGCAGGGGGTGAAGAATCCAATGGGATTTACACATCTAGACAGAAATCAAGAGGGCGCCAGAGGTTTTTCTCCAAACTCAATAAATCACCTGACTCGGGTAGCCACAAAGTGTGGCAGGATTTTGTTTGGTGTGTGTGTGTGTGTGTGTGTATGTGTGTGTGTGAGGGAGAGAAAGGAAGCGAGATCCAAACCTTACTGTGCTAAAAACTCCCGGGTGTTCAAGTAGAATTAAATGTTATCTAACAAACACTGAGGCTACAGAGAGAAAGCTGTGAATCAGCAGCTCTGTTCAACACATCCAGGAAGGGTGAAACTTTGTTCTAGTCCAACCACCTGCACTGCCAGTCCCACACAACCGAAGCCAGAGCTACAGGTAGAGAGCTTTGGGATGTAATATACATAACAGTGTAAACAACTAAATCACACAGCACCAAAAGGCTTGCAAATGTCATAATCTTGTGTTTACCTGTGTGCACGGCTGCTCATTCTAAACCCTCCAACTCCCACACTGCTCATGCGAATAGTAAATGCTCTACCAAAAGCCTTATGCAACAAAAGACCAGTGTATGCGTGTTTCAACTGAGCACAGTAATACAGCAGAGAAAGAATTCACTGCCATGATTGAACTTCAACAAAATTGATTTTCACTGTATAAGCCCACTGCTAAACTGCTGTGTCCTAATTCAGAGGCTGGATGGGCACCAGTCAGGAAGGTGTCACTGCAAACCAGACCGAACCTGTGGCTCGTGTAGTTTCACAAAGACCAAAACTATCGGTGCATCTATGTAGTCCGCCGTCTTAAAACAGTAAATATGGCCAAGTTTCCCACCAAAAATGTATGGCCTTTGAACTGGGAATCGGCATGTAGCCTGCAGTGGGATCAGCAATTCAAACTCAAGAGACTGAATTGATCAATCACATTTCTGAAATATTGCAGTATTGAGCTGTTCACACTACCGTTGAGCCTGGACAGACCAATCAGCCAAGTGGGCTAATCTTCTCTTGGATCAGAGTGTGCCGCCTATACAAACTCAAGGTCGATGCATTTCCAACAACCCGACAACAGTATCGATTCCATATTTAACACAGAGATGTCGTCTTGTTCGGCATTGATCTTCCGTTTGCGCAGGCAGGACATTACAAAACAAAGAGACAGCCAATTGTGCTCTATTGCTGTCCCTGGCACATTTGTCATTGCTCACTATTACTTGGGGAGGGCAGCAATAAAACTGAGAGGGGGAGGAGGCACGACATTGGCGTGATGGCACGCTGCCTGGACTCAAGCCTCCAATCCAAGAGGCTAATAGGGTCTAACCCATTCAAGAACCATTAGAAACCAAGGCCTGGGAAACAATGCATTCCAATTACATTTCTTATCATTCAGACCCACAACAGCTGTAATGAATAATAGTTAAATTGTGAGGTGAGGAGAGGGAGTTTCTGGACAACAGCTGCAAACTTCCCCTCGCTTGTCAAATATACAACCACTGGACTGTGAGTTAAAGAGCACGACCTAGCAAACCTTTAAAATGAAGATCATGACTCGGCCTCCGTGAGCATGATATTAATCTAAAGTGCACCGGTACACTGTGGTATTGAGATATTGACTGTGTTAATGGAATTTTTAAGGAGTAGACAGAGTTAAATGAAAGCCCCTCTGCACTAAGACTGAATACCCACAAAATACTGTAATTGTGTTGAAGTGAGAAATCGACATTATCACACACGGTTGGGTGATCCTGGTTTTGTGTATTTGGACTCCCAACTCTCCCAAAAAAAAAAAAAAAAAAAGTTTGGAAGGAGACAGTAATGACTCCACATCAAATAGTCAGATTTAAGGCATGCTTCAGTGGGAAAGCAATTTCAACTTCCACTCCTGAGCTGATGGACAACGTACCCGTGATTGTTTTCTCTCCCTTTATCTCTTCACTAAGCACACAACTTAGTCCTCACATCACAGTCACTCAGTGCCCCACAAGGCCGCAAAGTCAATTAAACATTAGTCAACTCGATGAATGGCGATGCCAATCAAATCCCTTGTGCTGCCCAGGACTGTGGCCAGTTGCTCTCTGGGAGACTTCCCACCTGACCCCTTTAAAATTTGTCAGTTTTGACATATCAAATAGAAGCAACAATGTCTTTTCTCCAAAGAGATATCCGGTGATCTGTCTGCACACCTGGTGGGAAAGATGACACGTCACTTTGTGTGATGATCGGCTCCCAGAGACGCTTGGAAATTTGAACTAAGGGGGTCTTTAACATCATAATTACTCCAGTAGTTTTTGTATTGTAGACTAATCCCTTGGTCTACTATAGAAAAAAACACAGAAGGGATTAATCAAAGTGGGAAGCATGATAAAATGTGCTCCATAATGACAGCAGGCTTTCAGGGAATAGGGATTTTCTGGAGTTATGCCTCTTCTCAAGGCCAAGTTAATGTCAATGGGCTAATAAAGTGCAGCAAAGACCACATTTGTAATCTTCTCACACTGATAAGTTTAAGACGAGACTGCGTCTTAAAGATCAAGTTAAATTAAATACATCATATACAGTTCAGGCTAATAAAGTACTTGAGGTCCTTGAAACACTTTCTCGGTATCTATATCATAAGACCTTAATCCCTAAAGTTTGAGGGTAAAGTGCTTCTCAACCTACAAAACTGAAATAATTAAAACAGCACTATGCAGCTTCACGCATATGATATGGTGAGGGATAAATGTTAGAACAATTTTAACATCAAGCACAAGGAAATCCTGTGATATTAAGTCCATGAACTGGACACTGTGTGCTTTTATACGCCAGCCTGGCTGTTCTGCGATGCTTTACACCCAACAGACAAAAGAGGCCGGAGAACAGAACACGCTGGTCTAGCTTTCACTGCACAGCTCGACACGGATATTTAGGAGTCGCTTTGTATTTCATTTGCTACTTCCTGCCCAACAAGCAACTAGGGAAAATGTATGAAATCTGGTAAGACAGGTGCATCTATTTTTTTTTTCCTAGTGCAGCTTCAAATTCACTATATCAACAAGGTTCTGAGATTCAGATCCGTGTCTGATTTCTGCCTTTTAGAAAGCGAAACTCCTTCCTACCGGTCTGCCACCAGTGGTCCAGGACAGGAACCCCAAAGCTCCTCTTTGCCCATTCCAGCGTCTCCACATCACATCGCTCTCCCGCCAAGAATAACGACCGCATGCTGCAAGGACACAGAGCACACCTGTCAATCACTTTAAGCAAACATGACATATCTGCTCCCTTGCAGGAATGGTCAGGACAAGTCAAAATCTTTGCAAGCAAAATATACTTTTTAACATTTTTTTTCACCAAGTGAGTGTTCACAAGCTCAAACCTTTAAGCTTCTTAAAGACTTTACAATGTCAAACAGTTGTCTCAATTGACCCACATCCAATAGGAATTTAGCGAGGAGTATCGATATGAGAAACCCAGACTGCGAGCTCCTGATTTACCTCTTTGCTTGGAGTGTTTTGCAAATTGGCACCACGCTCCCATTTCACTGTCCCTGTGCTCCTAGCTGTGACTGAGGCATCCTCTCCACTGCCTCTGACACTGTTAAGCAGACAGTTCTCGCCACGCTCGCTGACCAAAAGATCTTTGCGTCTGCCGATGATGGTTTTTCCTCCTCACGGTCACACTCATCAGTCGATAGAGGTGAATCTTTGTGTGTGTTGAGTCCTTAGCCTCTTGCTTTAAATGTAATGGAAGAAAACGCCAAATTACACTTTTTCCTTCCTCTGAAACTTGCATGCATTTCAAGTTGGATGTTCACTGGAAGACTTCCTGCAATAAACACTCTTGGCCAGACTAAGCTGCTCCCCCCCCCCCCAGGAAAATCGTGCCCTCTAGATGGCCTCTCAGTCACTATTGATGAGACCCCAAATCGATGTGTACCTGGAGGCAAAAATTCTTGCAAGGACATCTGAATGTCTCAAATCTGACACTCCCTTACTCGTCCCTTCTTGGCAAAACTTTAGTTTCCTCTAGTCTGGACGACTGCTACTCCCTGGCTTCATGAAACTCTCCCTCCATGCCCTATAAGTGACCCAAAACGCTGCAGTTTCTTTCTTCAGCCTCCCCAATTTCTCACCCATCATTCTCTTCCAAACGCTCTCTGATGGCTGTCCATGGTTGCTCATACCTAATTCAAACCACTGCTGGTTGCTCGCTACGAGGCTGTGAGGGGAACCATAACCCCCTGTAAGTCCAGGCCACTGTGCAGCCGTAGGTACTAGTCTAATCACTACATTTTCCCACAAACGACTGCTGGTCATCAGCCATGGGTCTCCATCCTCCGCGGTGGCGAAATGACCTTCCAACTCCAATCAAAATTGAAGTTGCACACTACCTTTTGTAAAAGGCGAGAGAATTTTCATCATGTCACTCTCTCGCCACCGAATCACATCTTTCTCCATCTCTGCTCTCTCCCTGGATAATATTCTATTCTGTTTTTCAAGCACTAGTCTCAAACTTGATTGTCGTATAGTCCAAGGGATTTTGTGCAGTCGGGCTTTTCTGCTCCTCTGACACACTGTGTTTGCGGAACATCGGCTACACCTCCATAAAAACAGGAGGATGCAAGTAAATAAGCAGACAGTCAAAATGTTGTGACACAGCCTATCACCACACAGCTGTCACTGAGGGATAAGGGGTAATTCACTTTTTAAATAACATTATGGTTGCTTTAGTTGTGTCTGCTCAATTATGGTGCTTTTGCATTTTTCCCCAAATATACGTCTAATTACCAAGAACTCTTGTGTGATGATAACTTTTGTTTTGGGCGTGATATCATCTGATTAATCAGCCCTCCTGCTCCAACCTATCACTATCATATTGGCCTTTAAAACTCCGCTGTCAGTTGACCTTTAAACAAGGCTGTATCAAGTATGAAGAGAGTACGCCCAGGCACCTTCATGAAGCCTCTGCATTAACAATGTTGCTCCATTCAGCTGCCAGATATGTTCTCTGAGCTATATAATATCATGTGTAATAAGTGGATGATTGACTCACTGTACTGGCAATGACCTTATGTTCAACACATTACCCTCCCACCACCATGCTTGTAGTTATTCAAGGACCTCTGTTTTGCAGGTTTTCAAAAGGAGTTCAGTGGAAGTACAAGTTTGGATTCTCCGTGACCTCAGAAAGAGAGGAAGGGCGATGGTTTGGCTGCTGCCCAAGCTCAAGGACTGCATGTACACCGAGATAGTAACACAAGTATAAACAATCGTCATATGTTTTAAGCTCTTTAGAAAACCTACCCTCCCCCTTTCTAAAACCATTCTCAAAGAATCAAGGACAACATATCAAACTTAAGTGATGGTGATGTGCGAGTTATTCCAGATTACACCTACATGGCTTAAAGCGTCAGTTCTCAGCAGTTTGTTAGTTATTCCCAACACTGCTCAAATGAAAATACCTCCTTCCCTCTTAGCCTAACATTTTGTGTTCCCTGGATAAATGTAGGATGATAATTATCTGTTAGCTAAGCGACATCTGTTTCAACGCAAACTTTTTCTCACACATACAGCATGAGGACAAACAAAGGCTTAACTGTTCCACATTTAAACCAACAAATCTACCACCTGTTAAATTCCTGCCATCCCCTGTAGGTTACTGGTGACGGTAAGATACAACGATGCAGTGCTATAAAACAAAGTAAGAAAAGATACACACTCTCTCTCTCTCTCTCTCTCTCTCTCTCTCTCTCACACACACACACACACACACACACACACACACACAATGGTAACACTGTCCAATCTGAGGCCAGGACATATTAATTTTCAGCAGCCACTGATCACGCCGGTGTGATCAAACCAATGGTCAAAATAGCACTTAGACTACTAAGACTCCGGTGTTATTTTTCTCACAGCTTTACACACTTCACAAAAAGGATCCAGAGTTTGAGACCATGCATGTGGAGTACAAACAGTTTAAAACATCAACCCTGACTAAACAATAAAAAAATATTTCTCTGCTGGTTTGTAAAGATAAGACCCCTCTAATCTCTACAGTACAACCTTGGAGCCTTGGAGCCAATAAAGCTAAAAACATCTTACTCTTAGTGGTTAAGGTTATCTACATGGTGGCCTTTTGTCAGGTCTAGATGCTAATATGCTTTAAGCTGATTCTGTGAGGTCAGTGTGGCAAAGTTGATGTGAGAACAAGCGAAGGAGAATACAGCTGAAGTTGGTGGCTTTGAGATCCTCTGCACAGATGGACATTTACTCGCCCAAACTAGAGCGTAAACTCAAAAAAAGTCTGAGAGTATGATCTGTTGTGTGTAGGGCTCTAACTGCATCATATGGAAATGCAACTGCATCATGTGATAAGTGAAATAAAGTCATGATAAACAGACCAGGGTATTCTCCAGCTTACTTAACCGCTGACAAGGTGAAAGCACCACCAGCCTCGACTGCGCATCAACTGGAGTCGTGCACTTTGTCACTCGTTTATGAGTGAGGCTCTCAGCATTCAGTTAGTTCTCCTGTCTTTAAGAAAACGCCGCTGACAGAATCTCGGCACCTTTGTCATGCCGCATTTACACAGAGCACCGCTGCCATCACAGCTTTCGACAGCCTCGCAGCCAGACTTTCAATTTAGTTTTCAACATCCACAGTGACGAGTCATACGGCTCCAGCACACTGATAAGGGTCCAGGGCTATTACAGTTGAGCGGGCCCCAGAGGGAGGAAATGTGTCACAGTGTCAATGAAGCCCAGACAGGGTGTTTGAGCTGCATCAAATTATCGTTGGGAGGTCTCTCAAGCATGAAATTATGCGTTTGATAATAAAAGATTTAGACTCTGAAAGATTTTACTACTTCCATCAACACACTTTTAATTAAAAGGCAGCTTTATTATTATTGACATACGAAGGGGCACAATGCACAGACTAGAGCTGGATCCATCAGGCAGTATTGTCACAAACACTGAATGCTTGGTTGAATCTCTCATATGCATCTATACACGAGCGTAGAGAATTCAGTCTGGCCTGTGAATTGAGTGCAATGTAGAAAGTTGGATGATTTACCAACACCAAGAAAAAAAAGTTCAAGGCCTCTTCAAAGAAAGACTCAATTATCTTGATACTTCATGTTTTCCTCTCACTCATGTAGCAAATGAGACATTTCTAGACAGACACAAGAAGTGACCCACAAATTGCCATTAACTGGTCCTCTACACTCAAACCTTTTAAATTCCATTAAAATATTAGATTCTCAAAATGCCATAAAATCTCTTTTTGCAGCTGAAAAATGGAAAGTACATTAGAGTTATAAGGAAAGTTTTGACCAGACATTGAACCGCCCTGTGCTAAAATGAAGCCATGTTTCACTGCTGCCTTGATATTTCTGTCACTGTGTCCCACTGACACCCCCTTTTTTTTTTTTTTCTCAGCGCCAAAGGGAAACGCTGTAATCTTTCACCAGCCTGCCTCCTCCAAGGGGAAAAGACACATTAAGAACAAGACAGTATACACAGAAAGAGCGTGTCAATTCAATGACTGATTGTGGCGGCGGCCAAAACTGAGAGAAGAGACGCCACAAATATTTCAGGTGAACGATACTGTCGAAAATAATCTCCCTCTGCAAGGAACAGCGTTTAAAAGAGGTGCTATGCATTCAACACAGCGAAGAACCGAGGATCGTCAAATTCAGCACACAATGCCACAGTTACTGAATGATTCACTGGGGTCGTAGGTCATGCGCACTCAGAATTGCTTTATGATTGTGTGCTTAGAGGCATTTTCAGACTGCTGAACAGAATGAAAGTGGTGACCTGACACCACAGCCCCTTAGGTCCGAGTTTCCGTGTACTCCTCCAAACAATTAACAATTGCGATGAACTCAATAATTTCGACTCTCTGGGCCAAACTAATGCCATGAAAAATGTTTGTTTTTAACTCTGAGCTACAGAGGACCTTTAGCTGACCAGTGAGACAGCAGCCGAGGAAAAACAAGTTCACGTTGTATGATTTAATACAAGTGGACCGCAGTGACCTGCCGTCGCTCGTTATCCGTCCTGATTAACACCCGAGCGGTTCGAGCTAAGCGTACAAACTGTGAGCGGTGGAGGTGGGAGAGGGCTGTGCATCAACAGATGGTCCGGAGACTAATGAGAGGCTGGACAGGCTGTTTGGACCTTTGTCAGCCAGGGGATACTTCAACTCATCTTTCCTGGCTTTTCTGAGCTCCTGTCACATCCTGCAGTTAAAGGTTTGAGTCCAGATAAACTAGTCTTCACTGTTCTCGTGTCATTTCCCAAAAGTGTTTGCACTGTGTTTCAGTTGATGCATCGGGAAATGGTCACGATATGAGCGATACGAGATCTTGTCAAATTAGCTGAAAGTTTGACCCAAAACTTTCTTATTGGAACAAGTTTTTGGCTTCCATTTATCTGATGGTTTTTAAATCTCTATGAAGGCTGCTGATTTCTTTCATGAACAATCAGTTTATTCGTTTTCAATAAATCAATTATTGGTTTAGTCTATAAAATATCAGAAGCCAAAGTAGTAGTAGTTTGTCCAACTAACAGTCCAAAGCCCAAAGATTTTTAAATTACAATGTTTTAAGAGAGAAAAGCAGGATATTCTGACAATTAAGAAGCTAGAATTGGGAAATTTTTGAATTTTCAATCAATTAATTAACTAATCATTCCAGTATGAATAACTCTGGCACATTCCTTCCATTTCATTCTACAGCAATTACTATAAAACAGTTTGACTTCTTATTGTGTGAGGTGTTTTCCGTTTACCTGGACAGCGGGTATTTTTTCCCGATTTCAGCGTGTGGGTCCTGCTGGCGAATGGCTCGGATGGCAGTGGGCGCTGTGAACATGGAGGAGGCTCCGTGTTCAGACAGTACGCGGAAGAAAGCTCCAGGGTCTGGAGTCCCGACAGGCTTACCCTGTAAACAGAGAGTAAAGCCACAGCTAGTTAGTTGGTGCAGGCGTACAAATCACAGGACAGACTGCAGATAGTGGAAGCTCAGAAACATTACAACAAGACTTCCACAATGTTTCACAAAGCAAATTCACTTCAGCTGGAAACTACAAAACATGAATATTCATAGAGCAGCTGTTTAAAATGGAGATGCACACTGGAAGGCTGCCTTCTAGACAGATGGGCCTAGAAATCCATGGACTTAGAAAAAAAAAAAAAAAAAACACAGTTGCGCTATTGGAGCATTGTTTGGCGAAAAGATGAAGGTAAAAGACGCCTGCGGGCAAATGCCTCCAACATAAATTTCCACAGTGTTTCTTGTATTCAACTAGTCCGGCCCTACAGCAAGAAGACAACTTGCGGATGAATGAGGATGGTAAACAGCAGCAGTGAGTTCTGGCTGTCATTTTTGCTCTGGATAAATATTTGTGTCTGTGTATTGATCAGAGGGAAGATAACAGATTGGCAGCATCGTGTCTCAAGATAGACAGGCTGCTAAAACAAAAGCTACGTGACACAACCAGCGTGGCTGTAGTCAAACACAGATTAATTAATTGATTTGCCCAATACAGCCATTTCCCGCGGGTGAGAGAAAAATCAGAGTGTTAATGTAATGAGTAATGAGTGACACTCAACATAAGAAACTACTGTATAACTACAATATAATATAAAACCTAAATGCAAAGTTCAACCACTCGACACACTCATCCCTCTTTGCCTTGATCTGCAGATTGTCTTATATGCTAATTGCCCTCCACATCATAAACAGCTTGCACAGAGACTGTACTCCAGTAGCCAATGGGTAGCAGGCTCAGAATACAAAGCCAAATTATCTGTAATAATCAGAAGTGCCTGTTCAGAAAATACTTAATAAGAGCTTGTTGTTTATTCCCTTACCATTCATCTTGCCACATAAGAATGACATGCTCAGCAGAGGGCCTTTGTGCTTAAGGTATTAGGTCCTGATTTTATGTTGTGATAATTACATTTAAATACTAGAAATGGATAAATTCAACACAGTTGCTGCTTTTAATGTTAAAAAAATATATTTTCTGTTAGCTGAAATGTCTTTCTATCACCAGTGTGGGATGTGCAGGTAACACACTGACTGTGATTAAGTAAAGAAAAAAGAAAGGGAGTGAAGAGTTGGAATCTCATGACAGTGGACCGTAGCAGCCAGAGTCAAACATGGCAGCAGGGTCAAACAGTTCACCCAGTCCACATTCACTTGGGAGGCATAAACCAAATATGGACATATTCATCATGCGGGGCCAGCACAGGCTCATACCCACCTGACATTAAAACCTGACTTATGCAGCTTTGTAAGTTGTACAACTCAGGTTTTATTGCACATTTCTGGCCTTTTTTTTATTGATGTTTGCAATACTGCTGTAGTTCTTTTGAGATACTAAATCTTGTCTGCAGGGACATACCTCATAGAGAATCGTGCTGTTGCCATGGAGAAGAGGAGCGTAGCAGATATATGAATGGCCGACCACCCAGCCCAGGTCTGACGCTGCCCACCAAACCTGCAAATGGTTAAAGGTGAAAATGTGAACAATGTCACCTGGACACAAACTTCTGTTATACTATTTAACAAGCAGAGAGAACATCATCCTTCATAATAATTACTAATTTCTCAACTTATGACTCTTCAGTTTATATAAATCTTCTTTCAAGCAGAGAACAATCTCTCTCGTCGCTGCCTGCATGCTCTTTGTTCTCAAGCACAGCTCTAACTCAGAAGAGAATGCTTTATTGCCTTACATCTCCGGGACTGAGTCCATAAATATTTGACATGGTCCATTTCAGCATCACAGCGTAGCCTGCAGTGTCTCGCACAACACCCTGGGGGACAAGATAAGCAAAAGATCAAGACTAGTGACAGGTATTGTGCTAAGGCAACGAAGCAGGGGTTTAATATCAGTCTAAACACAGCCCCTTCACCCCTGCTCCACACAAGAGTACGGTACTTTACATTTATAATTCCAGTTGCTTTCATTAATTAATGGTGCTGCATAAATATTTTTGCACAGAGTGTGTCCTAATGTCCACAATTAAACAGTTTCTTTCCTCAAAGTTATAGTCTCCCTACAGGCATAACTGAGAAATTCACAGAAGCTTGCAGAGAAAAAAAGCTGGAAATAATGGCACCATTAAGTTCAGGAAGTAGCCAGCAGTTGGAAATTTTATATCATCTGTTGGCCAAAGACAAAATGATGCTATTTGAAAGGAGCCAGGGTTTTTCCATTTGAAACTGCCTGTAGGCAATTCCTCCTGCATCAGCTCCAGCTCCTGCTGTGGAAAAGCTCTGTCTTATTTATGTCATGGCGATGGTGTTTGGATGGAGCTTGGATTGTTTTGCAGAGTCAAAGAGCAGATGAGTCACACGAAAGCTCCGCACAGAACCTGACAGCATTCAGACAAACACAAAATCCTATTACCCGTCTATGTGACAATATATGATTACATGAAGTCTGCAAGTGTGTGATTCCCATTTTGCTGCATATCACAACTCTGAGATGCCAGTACCTTTGGAGTTCCAGTGGTCCCAGAGGTGTAGAGGACATAGAGGGGATGGTTGGAGGGAACGGAAACGCAGTCATGTGGCTGAGCAGTGGCCATCTCTTCATCCCAGTCCAGACTCAACTCCGGACTCAGCGACACTTTCTCCTTAAAACACAAAAAAATTAGGAATTCAGTTTTATTTGCATTCTGATTAAACTACTCTAAAAGGAATGTGTTACTGCTCTGCAGCTCCAAATTTCATCTATGAGTTATTAATCAAATCCATTGACTCACGGGGTTTGTAGTTTTCAAAACTTTTTTTTTTTTTTTACTTTGGGTCGAAAAAGTGACTTGGGGATATAAATAAAATCTTCCTTCAGAAGGAATAAATATATATTTTACACAGTTATATAATATTTCTACACTAAACTTTTCTGTTGAAACTGTTTTAACTCTCATCTGTCATTACAATCTCTTGTAGTCGCTATCACAGGTCGTTTCAGGTCGCAGTTGAAGACCTTTACATCTTCTGTTGCCGACATCTGTCTCATGTCAAATCTAAGTGAATCTCTTTGATACTTAAATTTATGAACATTTAATCATTCCAGGAGGCTGAAGAAAAAAAGTCCTGGTCATTTCTTTTCTTTGGTTCACAGAAAATCGTTCAGTGTCACAGATTCTTGAGGCAGAGGACAGACATCACATAAAACCTTCAGATATCTGAAATGCATCTTTTTTTCTTTTTTTACTCATACTAAAGCAAAGCCAGAGCAAAGCTTGGCTGATTTAACAAGGCTTTCATGTTAGACGCCGTGTTGAAAAAAACCCACAACCTCTGGCTTACTGAACGCGGGATATGATGAAGCAGCTGCAACCACCTTCAAAGTGGTGTTTCACATGATTTTAAGGGTTTCAGTTTCCAGTGGATTTCCTATGAAAACTATTTCACTGGCTTCACTGCTAACAGTTTCATGTCCATCATGTACTGTATATATCCTCCATACATTTTGCAAAAACCCTGACAGCAACCACTTAATTCACCAGAGAAAACGCTGATAGATAAGACTGAAGAGATCAAACCAGATAGAATAACTCATGTAATGTTAATTTTAGAGCACAACAAAGCCAGAGAGAGGTACATGGCATAACTGATTACAAAACTGAACTGACTTAGACACGGAGGCCAGACAAGAAAATTGAAAGGAACAACTGCAACACCGTGCAATCAAGTTTAGAAACCACAAACAGTGTTTTTCTTTTATCCCTGTGTATATGTGAAACAACTTTCAATTTTCTGTCGCCAAATTAATGCGTAATTTTTCTATACAGCTCAGACTTCCTCCAAACTGCAATTACACCAGGCTGCCTATAACATGCACCAACCTCCAGCCCTCAGCTTCACACATACTAGACACATTTTTCGCTCTGTCTCATCTACTTGCACCAGCTATACATCATTTCATCTTCTGATTTGGAGGCAGGATTTGTAAGACTATTATACCATTCATATATATTTGACCAATCCTGGGCAGTAATCCTTTAAAAATCCAACGCTTTAGATTCAGTTCAACGATTAAATGCTTTCTTATAGGTTAAAAACTGCAACCCCTTGCCTTCGGGAAATCCTTTTCTCCCGACAGCAGCCACACCGAGACCGAACTAATCAGCTTTACTTATGGCTGGCTGCGATATTTCAGATACGTTTACATTCTGTCACATCACCAGCAGTGTAGGAAATGAGACCACATGGTCAAATTTAGCTTTAGGGTGAGTTGTGCTTCTTACCATGTTAGGCCTGTTGTAGATGAGAACTTTAGAGGGCCTGTGAGAGCTCAGCTCCAAGGCCTTCTCCACTAGAGGGATGTACTCCACTCGTCTGCCTGGCTCGATGCCAAATGAGGCAGTAACCATCAGCTTGGGCTGGAAAAACACAAGAGATCAAGTGAGAATTTTGATTGTGTAAAAAATGTCAAGCACTTACAGCATCATGTTTTATAGCTCTATCAGAAACTGCAGCCAGTGCTCCCGTCATACATACTTGAGAATTTGTTTTGCTGCATTTTTTAACAGGGTGTTTGCGTGTATGAGCCTGTTGCCTGTGGCAGCACTCCAGTGTCGAGTCAAACGCAGTTCACTTCACAGAAGCCTTTTTAACATGCATGTGATAGCAGTTGCATAGTAAATAGCCGGCTTACCACACATCTGAGGTGTTCCTAGAGCGTAAATGGCAATTCCTATGACTTTTTAGAGTTTGAAATTTGAGGCACGTACTTTCATAGGCCACAACTTTGAAGCAGATGGCCTCTAAATGCGACACACTCAGTCATTGTTAGCTCATTTTGCAACAGTGACCATTGCAGGGCATTGCAATGTGTATGACAGTGCTAAACAAGGATCATTCATTCAACAAAGACAGTTTGAACATGTGATCAAGTAGCTGGTGGCAATACTAGTATTTCTTCAGATTTATATTCATATAAACACGTCACTCGGCAGAGATCAATATTGTCAGGAACATTCCCTGTCAAAATGTCAGATTCTTGCTTTCAGTGTTTCAGATATCTTTTGCAGGATGGATGACGCACATTACTAACTGAAAGAAAATTGTAATGTATTTGAAGTACATAAATACAAAGAGTCTTCAAGTCAGTCTGTCTGTAGTTTTCAATGAGTGGCGAGGGTAGTTAAGAGTGACAATGAGATCATACAGTTCTGTTATCAAGGCTCAAGAAAAGATAAATCTCAACCAGAAGGTGAATAATAACATTTTCTAACCTTGGCATGATTGATGCGGACAGAAAGCTCTTTGGAAGCAAAGCCGCCAAAGATGAGGCTGTGTGGGGCACCGATCCGAGCACATGCCAGCATGGTGAACATGGCCTGGGGCACCATGGGCATGTAGATGACCACCAGGTCTCCTTTGCGTACCCCATTCTTCACCAAGACTCCTGCTAACCTGGAAACCTGGAACAAGATACAGAGGAGACAAACCAGAGTTCTGAATATCAACATGCATTTTGGATGAGGACACACGGCGCTTTTTCAAATGTCTGATTAAGCAACACACCAAAGACACACTGTGCATCTGGGATTGTTCTATGCATTTTGTACATGGTTTCAAGGTTATGAATAGGAGAAAAAAAAGTAAATTTACTGATTGCTTTCAACTACATATAAATCTGACAAATGAACGAACTTAATATCTTTTTGTAAATTAAATCAAATTAAATCAAATTTAATTAAATGTCTTTTTCCATTGTGGGCAAAGACCAATAAAAGGCTGTAGCTATACTTCTGCTCATTTAGAATACATTTTGATTATAGCACACGCCATTGAATCTTAATTGAACTGAAGCATCTGCACAAATGTCAATGAAGTTAATTATTTCCCCTTCCCTCGGTTATTATGTTTTTCTGTTCTCCATGCTAATATTGGCTCAATCCAGCTGCCACAGAAAGAAAAACTTGGCCAACTGTCTCAGATGAAGGATGAAAAGTAAATTTATTGTCATGGCAACACTGACAAATTCTAATTTCAGTGCTCTAAAAGCAGCCAAAAGCTGCTTGCATGCTTCACAATCCCTTTTTAACCACACATCCCGGCAGTCCAGATCAGGCTTTAACAACGCGGCTCCATGCAGGTCTTTGTGTTATTATGTTTTGTGACTTCTTTCAAAAAATACTGTTTACCTGGTCCTGAAGTTCCCTGAAAGTGATGACCTGTTTAGTTCCTGTCATTGGGCTGTCATAGATGATGGCAGGCTGCTCTCCACGGCCACTCTCCACATGGCGATCCACAGCATTGTAGCACATGTTCAACTTCCCTCCAACAAACCTGACAGTGACAAACATAATCAGCCAACACTCAACAACACGTTCAACAATCAAATATGAATATTTTTTACTTTCAAACATATTGATTCACAACTAAAATACATTTCTGGTGAACAAAATATATCATATGCCACATCACTAAAAACATACCATACTTTGGGTGTGTATTTTTTGGCTGGTAGGGTTCTTTCCTTACACTTGAAAGTGGAGCAGAAATTGATTAAACCAATTTCAAGCAAAAACAAATGCAGATGTCTGTACCAGCAGCACACAGCAAACCAATGCTCTTGATAAGGAGACAGTTTCATCTCATTCTGTTGCCTTGCATAAGGGGCAGCAAGCAGGTGGAGCAGATGGTGTCTGAGCGCTGCTGTTTTAGCAGCCAGAGAGAAAGGGTGGCCGTACCCTTCATTTTAACATGACTGTACCAGATTCAGGCAGCTCTGCTATATGCTGGAACTGACAACACCCCACACACCAAATAAAAAGGAAAAAAAAAGTAATTTTATCCGTCTTCTAAACATCCCACAACTTACTTTGACAAAATTATAAGGCCCTTTGAATCATTTTCAAGTGATATATGGTAAATTTTAAGTAACGGTTAAGTTTTAATTAGCCAATTTGTGCCTCTCACGCAAGACTTTTGAACCGTTAGCTAGCGTTAGCTGATTAGCTTGTGCCGTGTTTCTCAAAATAGAAGACCAACGTTGAAAATAACGGCAGGTTGTTTCACTTACCGCCGTTTGAATAAAATATAATTTCAACTACTCTCTTCATTTCGACTCTGAAGGAAGCAAGAAAATATTTTTTAAATGTTACTATGCTTTTGTTTAGCCCATTAGCTTAACAACAAATCTCCAAATTCTAGCCAAAGATGACAATGAGGTGAAATGATTCCTTGCTCGTCATATACTTATCACCAAAATTAGCTTTTTTTTTCTTTTTTTTTTTTTAAGTTTTCTACATTAATCTAAGTCTTCTTTTTTTACCATTACGTCATATTTTTAATTATAGTAACCTTTTTTTCTGTAAATTTGCTCAACTACAAATCAATGTAAATCTATAATAAACAGTTGAAATCATTTTCATTACAGTTATTCTGAGTAGTTTCAGCTGTAAAAGCACAACCTCAAAACCTGCGGGTTTTTTTCTTGAGTTTAAAGAAATACACTCCTCATTATGAGAGTTTCAGTGTAATTATTCGACATACATGCACAGGTGGGAGTAATGCTGCATTCATGACCCCCCCGAAAAATCGGTATTTACAACTCCGACTCGGAAAAAAATGATTTGCATGAACGGCTCCTATTTTTTTTGCTTGCAAAGTTTAATGGGAAATTGGGAATTGCAGGCTTTAACTTTTAAAGGAGTCAGGTGGTGGTCGAGCGCATGTATGTTTCATTTTGAAGCTAGCAGACTTGAAAAGATGTTAGGGTTGCATTATAACTGGATGTTACTTGCTGTGTTGCTTGCAACATTGACACCTACCAGTTTGGGAACACTGGATCCTCAGCGTGCAAAGTTTTACTCCATGGTTCAAACCAGTTAATGTCCTGTCCCATCTCACCCCAGAATCGCTCGGGGTTGTCCCTGGCTGCGGCGAAGGCTCGACTATACGCCAACGTGTCGGATGCATAGTTTCTGCAGCACTGCCGGGCGAAGTACTTGTGGATGTCTTCAGATGCATGCGATCCTGCTGCTCTTAAGCCACGTTGTTGTTGAGCTGCTGTCGAAACACTCCACAGTTTCCTCCCGAGTGTCCTCTTATGCTGGGCAGGAGCGCAGTGACTCAGGCGCAGTATGTGTTTTATGTGGAAGTGCATTGCTGCTGCTGCTGCTGTTGTTATTTTTAAGTTAACTTAAACACTTCCGGTGTTTTTCTTGCAGGTGAGAGACCCGCTACTGTGATTCAACACTGGGCGACGTCATCCGGGGCCACCTAAAGGGAGAGAAGCCTTCAGCAGAAATCCTTACAATACCCTCAAGGAATGCGGACTATGAACTGGATGTAGTTGATGCAGGAGGAGCTTTGAGCTTCAACCCAAACTGTTACACAACACACAAATCGGCCTTAGTGCAAACAGCACTGTAAAACAGCCAAAACTATTTGTGAAAAATATGTATCACACTTTGAAATTTGCTGTGCAAAGATGAAAAGTTGTGTAAAATTCTTATTTTTGGGAGTGGTTATACAAGATGAAATCAAAATCACAGTTTTTAGCCTCACATAACCACCAAGACATTTTTTGGGGGTTAGATATTTAGCCCATGGCATGTCTTTTGTCATGCAAAACAAGAACAGATCCATGTCATTGATATTTACTTGTGAAATGCTTGAAGCTCCTTTCTAAAGCGGAAGCATTAAACTTTCATGGTCCTCAGGGGTCCCATCAATAACCCGTCTCCGGTTAAAGATGCAAATACCTCTGCTTAAACTGATCAGGGAAAAGCACTTAGGGGTTTGTTTGAGGTTTTTTTTTTTTTTTTTAAACATAATTGGGTATTTTGTATGGAATCAATTTAGAAAAACAACATGCCTCCCTCTCTTGTTAAGCTGAGTCACTCATTCTCCATAACAGCAGCTTGTGCAAACCCCACACAGGCAGCAGCAGCAGCAGCAGCTCTGTGTCCTCTCAGATGGTACTGGCGTAACATCTCTTTCGTCACTGCGCATCATCCAAGCTGCTGGTAAATACCCATAATCCAGCTCACCGCCCCCCCTGGGCGTGACCCCTGAACACTGGTTGAGTAACTCATGCATCTGATATTTCACTGTCATCTGTTTCTATTTAAACATGCAGAGCGGTGTTTTCTTTTTGACAGCTCAGGCAGTAGCATGCATTTTCCAGGGAAGCCTCTCCATGGTATCACCTTGCAGCTACTCGGTTCACCAAACTTGCCCTTTTACACGTTTGAAGGGAAAATAAACAGTGAAATTCTTTGTCCCAAGTGACAGACAAAAGATATCAGCTAAAAACACATTGTGTATTGTCCATATTTTGAATTATTTATCAAGGTATTCTCCTAGTTGTCCTGTGGCTTTTCAGACATGATGAAATCGTGCTTGTTTTTTTTTTTTTATGCATAATATTGATTTAAATTTCATCACATTTCAACAGAGCATGTAAGTCACAATCTATATTCATGTATAACTATAATCAAAGCCCTGACAGTGAAAGCTTGCCTCCCCTCTCCTCTCATGCTGTAATTTGTCTGGTCAAAAGGTCTGGTTAAATCATTTCCCCCCACCCCCCACCCCCCAGGCGCTGCCATAACTCTTTTTAAATAACAGTGCAGATGCTATCAGCAGAATATGCATCATTCTTATACTCTCTGGCACCGGACGTGCACAGAGCGCTAACTAATAGAGTCCAATCAGACCTAAACCGGAGACCAAGACAGCTCCTCCATCTTGCCCTCTTCTCTGATTTTATGTGATGAGTGTGAATTTTTTTTGAAGCAGGAAACAGTCGGCTGCTCTTCAGAAAACAGTTAGAGGCAAATTACCAGAGTTTATATCTGCAAATGATTAATCTCCAAGCAGCATTTTTTTCCCCCACAGTGTCTGAATATGGATTTATAATCAAATTAGTTTGAAGATAATGATTACCATTTTACATCCTGAATGGGTTTTAGATGCAGCAGTGGGCTGAGAGGCTTGTGGATGATTTCAGTCAACATTATTCATAGTTTAAAATGACGGATACATCATTACAGCTGAGTGGATTTGTTCTAACTGACTAAAACTGAACATGATACAAAATAGTAGGGGCATTTAATCATTTAATCATTTCAAGCAGTACACTGGTGATATACGTCCAGGTAAAAGTCATTATTATTGTTTATTCTTTCCTCATTTAATGTCAGTCACAGCAGGAGATGGGGATAACAAGAGGCTGATGGATCCAAGAAAGCTTTTACACATTGAGATTTAAACATGTCTGTAGCTCAATATAAATACGCATGTCTTATTATTTTTTATTCTCAGTCTGTTGGCAACTGAAGTGCAAAATGAGCAGCTGTACAGCATCAATGAATTTTCTTATTTTATGCTGTTTAATATTGTTACGAAACCAGACGATACTTCTGTTTATTCCTCCATCTCAAATGAAAAGAGATTAAATCACTCAGGAGCTGTGCTGTAAACTCAAAATCCATCAGTTCACAAAACCTACAGCAGCATTATACTTATGTAACAAACGTTGTATTGTGTATACTAGATATTCCCACTTAATGTGACTTAATGTGAAATCTGTTATTAAAACACATTATTTTATCATTTTGATTTAAAATGTGTTAAACTGACTGAAATCTGCAGTCTGTACGGTGGCCCTGAAGGCTCAACTCACTTCAACTTAAGAAAACACATGCAAATACACAAAGAACAAACAATGTCTGTCATCTTCATCCATTTGACAACAGATGCAAATACTTACAACACAACCAAATACAGAAACACACTGCAAGTAGCACAAACCACGATGACAATGTTTCCAGGGGACACAAGAAAATGACGAACCCAGCTGGGATGCACTTGCATGGGTGTATTATAAGACATCCATGCACACTTGTTGTCCAATACTTTTAACTTCAAAAGTCACAAAGCATTGAACAACAAGTGTGTCCCAGTCGGGTTCATCACTTTTTAGAGTCCCCCTGGAAACATTTCTATTGTCGTCTGTGCTACTTGCAGCGTGTTTCTGTATTTGGCTGTGTTGTGTGTATTTGCAGCACATTTGTTGTACTAAACTGTACTAAACTAAAGGTTTTGTGTGCAAGCCGTTTCCAATAAACTAAGTTATGTTGATGAGCAAATTGGGATTTACAATATGTGGTGCAAAAAAGGGGACTAGAGTGCAATATCATTACTACTATTTCCAACTGAAAGTAAATGGGTGCTGGTTCCCTGAAGGGGGCGTCAGTGGCCTTATGGTTAAAAGAAAGTTTTTTTGTTAGAGGTCAACATACCATGGCAAAAGAAACGTCTTTGTCAACCTTCACTTCATGTGCAGTTTAACAAGGTAATTATAATGAAAGTCTGTTTTTAACTGTACAGAAGAGCCTTTGAGAAGTGGGTGAGTATCACCATGGAGCTATTCTAGTTGTTCCTCTAAAGAAAATTGCACATTTGTTGCATCAACTTGTCTTGTTAGAAAATGAATTCCATTTTCAAGACGTCTAGTATCCAGTAGCTCACACATGTTTACATGATGGTGCACTTTCATTATCTGTCAGTCGCTCCCTGACGGGGCTTAGTACTAAACAACAGCACTGCTGTGGATTAACAGCCTGTCACATCATGCAGGAAAACCTGAACATAAACTATGAAATGAATAGGCTACATTCTTTTCTGGATTTACTTTTTTTCCCCCTGCGTGACATGCCATATAGTCAGAGCTGCACGGGGATTACAGTTGTCAAAATTTGTGATCCAACCTCCCATTTTAATAAATACAAGTTGAACGATTATTACCTGGACCTCTGTGTTCATTTAGTGAAGCAATTCTGCTGTCTATTGGAGAACCACAACAAAGACATGACAGCATCCCACAGTGCCAATGCAATCCAATGTATTGTAGATTTTAAAGGCAACCAAAGAAGACTCACTGCATTCTGCTAAGAAATAGTCCAGTACCACAACTTATTGTACTTTTTGCTTTGATTTTTTTACGTATTAAACAAACAATAAAGGTAATGCATTAAAAGGGCTGTGTTTTATTTGAAGTGTTGTTATTCATAAGAAGATATATTTGTGGTTTTAAGAACCAAAAACCATCTCAATGTTGTTTTACATCTCCTCTTTCAAGCCTCTCTCTGAAGCTCTAGTAAAAACAGGTCAGTGAGCCAATCAGAAGAGAGGAGGCTCCGAGCCTCTCTTCTGATTGGCTGACTGTTTTCTGAGTGATCAAATAAGAATATAGCAGATTTCAGGTAAACAGAGAAACCAAATCCTGCAAAACTGAACGGTCCAGGTGGGTGGGGCTTGGGGCATGGCTGAGGGTGGTTACTGTTTCGTTGTGACATCACATTGTTACGGAAGTCCTCACAGCTGGTTTTTATGACTATTTTCTCAATACAGGCTGTGTGCATTTCTCTGTGGACTGAGCGCTTTGATACTTTCACAGTATTAATATAGAACCTAGACCCGCTTTATAATCAGACATAAGACATGGGCATCTGCCTTTATATAATATGGGACCTTTAATTTGTGAATTTTAAAGCTGGTAGGTGGATATTATTACCTTCGAACAGAGCCAGGCTAGTTTTTTCCCCCAGTTTCAAGTCTTAGCAAAGCGGCTGCTGGCTGTATTTTTAGATTTACCGTACAGACACAAGAGTGGCATCGATCCGCTCATCCAACACTCAACAAGAAAGTCAATAAGTGTATTTCACAAAATGTTGAACTACTCCTTTAATGACAGCACCAGTTGAATTCGTTTTTGCATGAGCACTGATGAGAAATGCAGCCCACAAATGAAGCTCTGACACTGATTAATGTTTTGAGCTTTCGTCCTGTCGTCTGTTTCTGTCCCATCTACACGGCCTCTCGCATCTTCTTCTGGTCGAGTGGAGGCCTTTCAGAAATCAATTTATTTGCAGTTTGAGGGTTTTAAGAGCACTGCAGCATAATCCCACCTCTTAAAAAAAAGAAAAAAGAAGCAGAACTGTATTCTAGCCCATATGGATGGGAGCCTGTAATCTCTCTGTGCCCTCTTTCTGTGCGCTCTCATAAGCCCTCACCCTCTCTATCCCCCCCTCCAGCCTACCACTTACCATCAGTTTACATCTGCATGCAGCTGGGTGGGACTGTGGGTGGCTGGAATCCACCAGCATATGGACGATGTGATCAAAAGTGCACAAGTTTAGTAACAGTTTCAATCAAACACAGAGCACATTATGATGACAGAAATGCTTGAAATTGGAAAAAAAAAGAAGAATGTATGATTTTACATTTTTAAAATTACATTATTATACCTTCTCCATAGTTGATCATTTGAAGGGAAGTGAGGTTAGGAGTGTGGGTAATTGCTTCACAAATGGGTATAGGCCAGAAGTGACTTTTTCCATGCAAGGCAGGATAAATGAGATTCAAAAAATTTCACTGACTCTATGTGATACAGTGAATTTTGTCCTGAACAAAAGGTGCACAGGAAAACCTAAATATTGGCTCTTGCCTTAGGTGTATATTCATGTTTACAGCTTGCATTTGTCATGGGGGTTTGCGAGCCATGTGACACGTCATGCTGCCTTAACAGCCCCCCCCCCCCCCCCCCCCCCCCCCCCCCCCCAACCAGGGATTCTCTACTTGTTTTTGTCGAGCACTGCCTCTGTCAAGTGTAATGACTGGCCATGTATGAGATATGCCACAGCAGCAGGCACCATTAGGCAGCAGATCTACGGTAAATGAAGGGAGTCAGTGGTTTGGCTCCGTTCTGTGGTAGCATATAAACATGAGGATTAATCCTTAAGCCCTTCAACTAAGGTTCACTACCATCATTCAGTCCTTATCAGGCTGCATGCAGCGCAATGTAGCCAGGAGAGGAGATAACAGGCGGGCATGGCTCAGCGGTTCACAATAAACCTTAATGGCAAGCGTGGATGCGATCAGCTGATCTCTGAAGTGCATTGGATGGATGGATTATACATGGCTGAGCTTTTACACGTGCAGGCACAAACACACACACATGATAGCAAGATTCAGCAGAGAAAACCTGGGCTATACTGGTTTACACTGCTGCATGTGGTGAAACCATCTAGTATGTTATAGGTGTGTTACGATGATTGATGACTGACTTTTTTATTCAGTCTGCAATAAATTATTACACACCCGCAGTGAGTTAGAGGGCACACTGGCCCTGCATGCTGCCCTGATTTATGAGCTGCACGACATGGTCAAAAGTATGTGGACTCCCTATTCACATTTGTTTGTGTATTTGAGCTATTTTCATGTTTTGGACAAGGAATTTTTATCCCACTTTCATGAAATAATAATCTCACAGAAAACTACAATACTCTGGACAATAGTTTGCCTCCAGCTTTGTGGCAACGGTTTGTGCTCTTTCCTGTTGCAACATGGCAAGACCCTCATATACAGCCCAAGCAAGGGCAGCAAGGAAATGTGTTTCCCCAGTTTGGTGTGGGAGAACGTGACTGGCCTGCTCAGAACCAGGACTTCAAATCCCCATTGAACACCTTTGGGATGAACTGGTACACCAAAAGCAAGCCTGGCCTGGTCACCTGACATCAGAGACCGACTTCACTAATGCTCTTCTAGCTGAATAGGAGCAAATCCCTGCAGCCAGGTTCCAAAATCTAGTGGAAAGCCTGTCCAGAGGAGAAGTGGCAGTTATAGGAGCATAATGACACCCATGGGGTTGTGGCTGCAAAGCTGCTTTCTCCACATCATTTGTGGGTGTCCACATACTTTTGGCCACGTAGTGTAATAGTCATTAACCTGACTCCTCAGCATATGTGCATTTTATTAATTTTATACAATATCACCAATTTCATTTTAATCTAATGCAAGGGATTAAATATATATATGTACAGTATATATATATATATATATATATACATATATATATATACACACACATATATATACATATATATGTATATATACTGTATATACATATATATATACGTATTCACTTGTTTCCATTGTAAATTTATTTAATGTGAAGAAGAGCTTGAATAAAGTGCCATATCTTTTATGCGAGTGGTGGATTGTTCCGCCTCGTTCTGCCAAGATGGACATTTATATTTTTCCACTGCGTGTGCGTAAAGCTGCTGTTCCCCTGCAAACAATGCCAGGTGATGATGAGATATTATGAGGATGGAGGTAGATTATTTCCCCTCCCAACCACTCCCAGCCTCCCTCACTCTCTCCCTCTCCCTCTCTCTCTCTCTCTCGCTCTCTCTCTGTGTGATGCTGCAGCTCCTGTAGTCTCTCCAGTCTCCAGTAAACAGCAGTCATGGCGACAGTGGTCCAACCGCTCACTCTGGATCGAGGTAAGGCGCTCGGAGCTTTGCAGATTTCTGCTTCTCATCAGAGGTTTTCCTCTTTGTTTTTTTCTTTATTCTCGCTTTGAAAACTTCGGCAGGGAACTGGCAACCCCCGGGTTGATTTAAGGTGTTTGTGCTCGGCTCGGATTTCCTACATCTTGTCTGTTCGTGTTCGTTATTGCAAGGCAATATGAGCTCACGCTTATTCTAAATAAGAAAAAGAAAAAAACCCGTACAGTCTGGCGGTTCTGTGCGTGCATTTTGCAGAAGGGAGCGCTTGTTTCCTCCGTCAAGCTGCTGCGAGGTCTTCATGGACACATGCCTTAATTCACCATCATTTATCCGACAAAATGAACACCACACTGTGTGTCGTTTATTCCTATCTATATTATGTAACCTCCTCGTTACTACTCGCTTTTTTCTCTTCATGTGTAAATAAAAAGCCTCGATGGCTCCTGAAGCGCTTTGGCATAAAAAATGTACTTTGCCCGACAGGAGACAACTTTTGTATTTGAATTGGACAGGTGCTCTGCAAGCAGGTTGGTGTCCTGATAAGGAATAAGAACAGGTTGCATGTTGTTGTCTTCTTGCTGGAATCAAACACTGCGCAAGCAAAATGCAATTAAGGGGCTAATGATATCTTCTGATGGTGTTGCTCTGCCTGTTCTGTTGCTGCACCACAGGTAGTGTTTACAAAGAGCTGACATGGAGTATGTAATTGTAGCCCATGTGACTTAAACACACATTTGTGTATCCTCTGACCTCATGCATGTGGTAGTAACTGTACAAATGTAAGAGCAATCCTTTAAGTACAGACTGTGCCCTACACAATCCTGGGAAGCACAGACTCACTTTAAATCCCTATACCTTCTCATTAAAAGTGTCTATTTTTAGATCCCAGCTGAAAAATTCCCAGTCTTACATTCAGATCAAATGCATATCCGCTGGTGAAATGTAATATTGCACAAGCCTTGCACTTGCACAGGAAATGGATGCTGTCAAATATAGAACAAGGAGACACCATAGCTATTTCCTCTGTGCCAAGTTGAAGCTAGCATCTCCTAGCTCTCCCGAGTCCCTTCCAAGCCACAGGAGGAGGGGTACTATAAATACACATTATCTGTTGGGAGCATAAATATCTATGCGGGAAGTAATTTGACAGGTGTCACTTGTTATGTGGAATCCAAGTAATTAGCCACAATTGATCATGTTCTGCTGCAGGGAGTTATATTTTGGACCATGTGCTCAATTACAATTGCAATTTGTTCTTCGCTAAAGTTTAATGCTTCAAGGCAGTCGAGCTTTATTGATGCACAATCTGTTGCGTGCAGAAGTGCTATACCATGCAGAGTTAATGAATGGAGCCTAAGATTACAACCGGCAAATGGATAAACAATACAACCCAGAGTTTTCCCATCCATCTCTCATCCTACAAATCCAGAATTATACAAAGGGGCTTAGGTGTGCTGCTAACGTCCTCCATCTTTGTAAAATGTCAGCATTCAGCCTTATTTGATCTTTGTCGTTTGCTGAGGCAGTGATTCAGTCGTGACCTCGACCTGTATGCTGGGGGACTGATGCATATTCACATGCTGCTGTGGCATGAATCTGACCAGTCAGCGGCTGGCAGCTGTAATGGCATGAGGAGTAGTAATGATAGTTTCACACAGGAGCCATTACAGAGAGGCAACATTACAGGCTTCCCCTTTTTTCAGCTGCTGCCACTTTGATGAAAACACTATAATTGCTAATGAAAAGGTAGTTTTGTCTCGTGTTGGGAGTGGGCTTTTTAGCTGCCGAGTCGCAGAGTTTGTCAGACGCACGCTGGGAGGAAACAGACAGGGATGTTCATTTCCAGAGCTCCCACTTGACTTGTCAGGTCACAGCGGGATAAAAAGATCTTACATCACTGGCCTTCCTGTTATTGTCGGAGGAAATGGCAGTGATAAGAAAGCACCAGAACCCTATCAAGAACAATGGATTGGAACCTCTCTGTGTTAGGAAACCAGTCTGCATTCACTGTGGAGCTGGCATTTAACTACAAACAGGCATGTCCCAGAGATGACAACCTTTGTGATATGAAATACCGAGAGCAGAAGTCAATGTGGGTGCATCTCAGTTGTTGTCCATCAAAGAATTTTGTCAGAAACTTCAAGAGAATGAAGTTTTGGTGTGAAACATTTTGCCAAAAAAAGAGAAAGAAGAGCGTTTGTGTATAATAACTTCAAGCTGTAACAAATAGGAATACTAGTATGTGAAAATGCTTACATGCTGATGCTGACTAGACTCACAGTCCTAATTTAGCATGTCAGCGCTCACTTTAGCTAAACAAAGGCTCATGGGAATTTGAAAACCTCACATGCTAACGTCATGGTGGTTTCTAGAAGAAACGCTGGAGGATCATGAACGTCAGGAGACTTCATCCTTTGGGGACCATTAATGTTTGTTAAAAAAAAATTATGGCAGTGGATCTACTAGCATTGCTTGTTGGGTTATTTGGCCTGAAAGTTGTGTGTTAGCATTGCCATCCCTAGAGCCATGCAGCTAGCTTACACTGCTAGCTGAGGCTGATGGGAATGTGAAAACCACAAATGTCAACGTCATGGTGAAACTAGAGGAAAAGTTAGAGGATCACCAACGTCAGGAGGTTTCATCCTTTGGGGACAATGAATGTCTGTACAAAATTTTATGGCAACACATCCACTAGCGTAGCTGCTGAGCTAATTCAGCCTGGACTGAAAGTAGTAGGTTAGCATTGCTACTCCCAGAGCCATGCAGCTAACTTGGTTTGAACATCAATCTGTGAGAAATTAGCCATCCTAAATGAGGACTGACTCTACTGTGCATTAAAGGTGTCCAAAAGTTATGTTGAACACACTGAATGTATTTCTCCCAGTGAGGCTGTTGAACATCAGTTCAGGGGCCTCGCTTCTTCAAGCATGCTCCCATGGTTTTTCTTCAGTGTCGCAAGGTTTGGCGAGTGGAACAATTTTCTGTCTTAACAGACAGAAAGGAATAACTGCAGCACTCTACTGCCCCAGTCCTTGTTTTCCCTCTGAGAGATCATGGCAAGTTCACTGATTTGAGACCGGACCTTATTCCCGTCACATGCTCTCAGGCACAGCAGCGATCTGAAGGATTAGAGGGGGGTCGCTGACAAGCTGACGTCACTCATAGCTCTTGATATTTCAACCCATCTCCTTTTAACACAGCAATAAATGCTCTCAGAGTCATTGTGTTGTAGGGGCACTGTCCAGTAATTAGAGGGGATGAAGAAGACAATGAGAGCATGATGTTTTCTATCTCTGCTTTCACCGCGCGGGCTCCTGCAGAAGCTATTAGCCCTCAAGGAGTGATTTATTTGTGCTGCTTCAAGGGGATCATTGCAGTAGGGCAAATTAGAGCCAATTCTCTTGCTGTTGTCTAATTTTCCCCATTCAATGTGATTATTACAGGTTTTATGGTTGGGATTAGCAGCAGAAATGCCAAAGGCACCAAGGACATCCAGGTCAAAGTGGTGGTGGCAGATGGCAAGGCCTTTTCAGGACAATTTATTCTAGCATGCATGACATCCCCACAGCATCTCTCCCGGCACAAAGGTAGCAGCAGAGTCAGAGAAAGGTCATCTAGGCCTTTCCCTGTCATCTCCCAAGGTGGAAAAATATCATTTCAATCAATAATCAAAGTCAGAATTTGAAAAGAGGATCTTCAGGTCGCAGAGATCTAATCACGACCGCACGGTTTAATGAGCTCTGCCTCTGGTGCGGACGTGTTTATTTACATCGCTGCCGTTTTGTAAAAAATGACACGTTTAAGTAGTGAAAATGAATTACACTCAGTTCTGCCACTATTATAAATGGACTAATTATACCAGAAAACTGGAGCGCTGCCCGGTGCCAGTGCATCCCCACAACAATGTTGTGGAGCCTTGTCGAGCGTTGAGGCCTTCATTACGTGTCACTGTGGCTTTGTTCAGCTCTGTGCCTTTTCTCTAATCAGTGGATGATGAGGATGACCTTTTTTAGACAGCCAGCGTGATGTTAGAGGAAGGGAAATGAGTTTCCAGGGTATTGTGCCACACAGACAATGTCAGCGTCATTTCAGACAGTGTTTGTTTTTTTTTGCTCTGTATTTTATTATTCTTGTAAAATAGATTGAGAACAAGAAACTTTAAAGGCCTTTTACAGATTATGAGTGTGTGATTAGGTAAGATGGGGTCTGATTATATTACATCATCATGATTGTTCAAACTAGAATCAAGTGAAAGCTATGATTTGTTCAATATGTGACCTGCTATTGGAGAAATCATTACACAACTGATTTAGCACATAAGATGAGTCCTGGGCGACAAGACTTCAAATCAATATCACAATTACTCCAAACTTTCACCTTGATTACGATTCATGAACAATTACTTTGGCGCTTATCTCTTTATCATGGTTCTGCTCCAAGGGATGAGACAAATTGAAGGCGTTACCTTTGGTCACTATCCATGTTGCATTCACCACCGCCTGGTAGACGTAACCGATAAGACCCAATGACGGAACGAGAGGTGGTAGTTTTTTAACGGGACAGTTCATGAACACACGCATTTGGAAAGTATTAACTGAATTAACCAACATGAGCAAGATTAAGTCGGAGAGAGGTTCTAAATGTCGGTTTTGATCCTACTTATCACTGCTAGTTTATACCAGTATGAATACACTTTCTTTTTTTTAAAAAAAGGAAAAATCCTCCATTGCAAGTTTTTGTCTTTTTCTACCTTTGTCAGTAAGAAGGTTTTTCTACAGCCTCCAGAGAGACGGCGAGACAAGGGAATTGTTGCTTTTAGTCCATGTAGGTGGATATCTGTACAAACCAAGAGAGTTTTATCCATTAAGCAGCAAAACATTAGAGACCCCCCCTCCCACCTTCACTCAAACCACAACAGGTCCTGCACCTGCTTCACATTCAGTTGTTTATGCCTGTGTGTGAGTGGAGAATTTTATATTTTTAGTTTAGTCTAC